GACCGTGTCCCAAGGGGGGCCTTGTGGGGGGTTCTCCGGGAGTATGGGGTACCGGGCCACTTGATACGGGCTGTCAGGTCCTTGTACGAACGGTGTCAGAGTCTGGTTCGCATTGCCGGCAGTAAGTTGGGCTCGTTTCCGGTGAGAGTTGGACTCCGCCAAGGCTGCCCTTTGTCACCGATTCTGTTCATTACTTTCATGGACAGAATAGCCGAGGTGTTGAGGGGATCCGTTTTGGTGGCCTTAGGATCGCATCTCTGCTTTTTGCGGATGATGTGGTCTTGTTGGCTTCATCGGAACGAGATCTGCAGCTCTCGCTGGAACGGTTTGCGGCCGAGTGCGAAGCGGCCGAGATGAGGCTCAGTGCCTCCAAATCCGAGGCCATGGTCTTGAGCCGGAAAAGCCACATTATATATATATATTTAGGCGCCATGTGCCGCGCCGTGTGCGCCATGTGCCACGCCGTGTGCGCCATGTGCGTGGGCACGACAACGGCACGTGCCCGCTGCAGCCGACAGGACGCGCTGTCACGTAAACATGGAAACAGTTTACGTGACGGCGCATCCAGTCGTCACGTAAACATGGAAACAGTTCGGTGTTCATTTTCGCACAACCGAACCAGGTCCGGATAAGTTGTGTTTTTTGTCCCCCTCTTCATTTGCCCTCTCAGCCACGCTGCTTCCCGCTTCCTCTGTTTTGACTCCAGCCGGTTAMGTCATCAAAAAGAATTGCGCGGTTGGCCAGTAGACTACAGATCTCTGTCATAGGACAAATTTATATCGTTTCTACCAAATATCGTTTACATCGCACATTTCTACATGGAGCTATATACAGGTCCTTCTCAAAAATTTAGCATATTGTGATAAAGTTCATTATTTTCTGTAATGTACTGACAAACATTAAACTTTCATATATTTTAGATTTATTGCACACCAACTTAAGTAGTTCAAGCCTTTCATTGTTTAAATGTTGATGATTTTGGCAAAAAAGTAAAGTAAAATCAAAAATCCCTATCTCAAAAAATTAGCATCGACCAATAAAAGAAAAGTGTTTTTAATACAAAAAAAAGTCAACCTTCAAATAATTATGTTCAGTTATGCACTCAATACTTGGTCAGGAATCATTTTACAGAAATAACTGCTTCAATGCGGCATGGCATGGAGGCAATCAGCCTGTGGCACTGCTGAGGTGTTATGGAGGCCCAGGAAGCTTCGATAGCGGCTTTAACCTCATCCAGAGCATTGGGACTTGTGTCTCTCAACTTTCTCTTCACAATATCCCACAGATTCTCTCTGGGGTTCAGGTCAGGAGAGTTGGCAGGCCAATTGAGCACAGTAATACCATGGTCAGTAGTGAGCAGGTGCCAGGTCATGCTGAAAAATGAAATCTTCATCTCCATAAAGCTTTTCAGCAGATGGAAGCATGAAGTGCTCCAAAATCCGAAAGCTAGCTGCATTGACCCTGCTCTTGATAAAACACAGTGGACCAACACCAGCAGCTGACATGGCACCCCAGACCATCACTGACTGTGGGTACTTGACACTGGACTTCAGGCATTTTGGCATTTCCTTCTACCCAGTCTTCCTCCAGACTCTGGCACCTTGATTTCCGAATGACATGCAAGATTTGCTTTCATCCGAAAAAAGTACTTTGGACCACTGAGCAACAGTCCAGTGCTGCTTCTCTGTAGCCCAGGTCAGGCGCTTCTGCTGCTGTTTCTGGTTCAAAAGTGGCTTGTCCTGGGGAATGAGGCACCTGTAGCCCATTTCCTGCACAAGCCTGTGCACTGTGGCTCTGGAAGCTTGTACTCCAGACTCAGTCCACCGCTTCTGCAGGTCCCCCAAGGTCTGGAATCGGCCCTTCTCCACAATCTTCCTCAGGGTCCGGTCACCTCTCTCGTTGTGCAGCGTTTTCTGCCACACTTTTTCCTTCCCACAGACTTCCCACTGAGGTGCCTAGATACAGCAGTCTGGGAACAGCCTGTTCGATCAGAAATGTCTTTCTGTGTCTTACCGTCTTGCTTGAGGGTGTTAATGATGGCATTCTGGACAGCAGTCAGGTCAGCAGTCTTACTCATGATTGTGATTTTGAGTAATGAACCAGACTGGGAGTTTTTAAAAGCCTCAGGAATCTTTTGCAGGTGTTTAGARTTAATTTGTTGATTCAGATGATTAGGTTAATAAGCCATTTATAGAACCTTTTCATGACATGCTAATTTTTTGAGATAGGGATTTTTGGTTTTTCTTTACTTTTTTGCCAAAATCATCAATATTAAAACAATAAAAGGCTTGAACTACTTCAGTTGGTGTGCAATGAATCTAAAATATATGAAAGTTTAATGTTTATCAGTGCATTACAGAAAATAATGAACTTTATCACAATATGCTAATTTTTTGAGAAGGACCTGTAAATAAACTTGAACTTGAAGGGTATAATACTAAGAACCGTCAGCTAACAAAAAGTCAAAGTTTTTGTGTTCAGGATGTTCAAGTAAAAAAAAAAATAGAAAAAAAGACTTTAGTGGCTAACATTGGTGAGCTCTAATGTTATTTATAATGGTGCCCAGCATAAAAACCTAAACAGACTCATGTTTATTGTGAACATCAAGGAATACGTGTGGAAGACCTTTTTAGATGCATTATGATACACTGATATCTAAAAACAACTGATCTCTTCCCTGGGGGTCTCCCAAAAGTAACAGCAGACTGTATTTCCAGCATTCAGCTTTTATTCAGTGACAGCTCTTCACATCACTGCCACATTCAGACACACTGAAACATCTTCTGCTGGTGCATATCGTCACATTAAAGTCTTACCACTGCTTGGTTATATCAAACATCATGATTACTCCATTGCAGTTCTTGTACACATCCAGGAACTCTGCATCCAGGGCCACTTCATCAGACTGCAACACAAACATGAGTGGCTGGATTTATATTATTGTGGTAAATGATCGAACGAGGGTTCCTACAAATTTTCCATCTTGAAATTCCTGACTTTTCTAACTTTTTCTGTTGATTTTTACCAATATTTTTGGCATCACAAGTATAAATTTCATGCAAACGAGTGTAATAATTTATCTGGTTCACGATTTCTTTAGGCACAACGTAATGATAATTTAACAAAACCATTTCAATGTATAGTTAAAACGGGAAAAAAATTGCTAGAAGTATGTGCCACTTTATAAGTGAAGAGTAGTGTTATATGTTTTGTCTGAAGACACAACACAGAAGAGCATAACTAAAACATAAACACGTCGTAACTTCTCAACATGAGATCTTAAGTTTAAAATTGACACGAAAAGGAATGAAGGTACTAAGGTATTTTTATTGCCAACCATCTATGACATAAATGTTTTAAAAACACTGTACAGCACTGTAACTTCTAAAATATGAAGTAAGCATAAGTAATCCATACCTACAAATAATTATTTGTTGACCTTTGTCTTCACCATCACGTTGCATAAAAACTTGATGTGGGGAGTTTCGTCCACAACCAAAAATAATCATTTTACTTTTATTTATTTATTTTTTATTTATTTTTAAAAAGGCATCTTATGAGGACAGGCAACTTTCTGCTACTGCAAGAAATCTATGTTGATTTTGTCTTGAAATAAAACTCAGTTTTGTTAAAAATTCTTTTGTGATATTTACCTTTTTATACTTCCTATAAAAATGTCGATTTTTCCTTTTGTAAAAAACAAAAGTCAACAACATTTTCATACCTTTCCTGACTGTTCAAGACTTTCGCACCATCAAACCTCCTAACCAACTGAATGTTTTCTTCCTTACCCTACTTAGGCCTGAACATGTGACAGCCCTGTGATAATCACCTCTTGTGGCTCATTCTCCAGCTTTAAATTGTCTCCACGCCGCTTGCCTTTGCCTGAAAGAGCAGCAGAATCACAAGTTTTAGGCTTTTGAAAACAAAACAGAGGAACTAAAGCTTTAAGTAGTTTACAGGCACCTAAGATTGATGACTTGCTTTGTTTATATAGGTAAAACAAGCACAGCAGTTAAACTACTTTTCTTATAGAAAAGCACTTTGAAAATACTGCCTTTAATACACAGTGGTTTACACAGAGTGCAGATGCTCAGACTCTAGCTAAATAAAGCAGTAACAAAAAAAAATCTAACTCTGATAATAGCCTTATAGAAGCTGTCGGAGCAGCCAAACCTTGGCTGTGTTGACTTTCAGAAAGAAGAGGGAGGTGGGGCACACACAAGTGAGTCTATACATTACTGTTGTGCTCACCTACACCTTCGTGAAGAGGGCATTTTTGGCCTGAGATGAGTGCAAGAAACACAACATGAACACTGAGGACAGATTACAAACAAGCAGACCCAACACATCTCTCTGATGTAATGAAAAATTGCAACAGAAATAAAAAAATCTCATAACCAAGTCAGCCTGCACAGAAATGCCTCTGAAATGATGAGCATCCACACTCACCTTTGTCCACCACGTCCCACACCTCTACCTTTACTACGTCATCAGTGGCTGAGACAAACACAAAAACATGATTTATTATTGTTGTTTTAGCACACACACACAAAAAATCTGAATAGGCAGATAATTAAGTAACTAATATGGATCTAAACCAATATGTGGAAGTGGTAACTAAAAGCTTTCTTTAGCGAGGGTGAGTACTGACACAAATGTAAGACATCTACAAAAGCTGGGCAAATGGACAAATATATCAACAATCGGCCACCAGAGTTCATTAACATTTTTTATTTTTAAAGAACAAGCAGCTCAGCCTGCTGTCAGACTATTTTCTATATTTCTTAATATTTTATCTGTTATTTGTTTACATAAATTAGGAGCTATATTTCTGAAAAACCCGTTTTATCAAAATATAAAATGGTAAAATGACAAGACAAAACAGCTTAAAATATTGAGACTGTATCAGTTCTACTAAAACATTTTCTTTTTGGCCCTTTGTTTCAGAAGTTACTAAATATCACTTTTTAAAAGCATTAAAATTTGAATGATAGAAAATGAAATAATATTTTGGCAGCACTTTGTAGTTCAGTTGTGGTTTTTGACAGCTTCATTTATAAGGATGTTAGTCCACAATTTTCATAAACACCAGACAAACTGAGGATGGTTTGTACCGCAGAAACTTTTTCCTTGTGTGAAGATGGTTTGTGACCCTCCACACTTTCCACTGTCCAAACTGTTGCAAGCTAAAAGGATTATATTTATCAATATCTGAATAACAAGAGGTAAATTTTTATTACTGTCTTCAATGTCACAAGTTTACATGCATTGCATTAGTATTTGGTAGGACTGGGCGATATGGCTGAAAAATGGTTCATGATGCAAGCAGTGAAGCAGCCAGAAATTGATTTTAGGCCGGGCCTGACAAAAAATGGGTGGGCCAGATCAGTTTCTCAGATGGTACGCACAAAATCATCGCCGCACCTGACCTACACAAATAGCCCAGTGTGGCTTTGTGGGAAAGAAACACACACACAAACACACACAGTACCGCGCTTTTGACTTGATCACCTTGCAAAACGCCAAAAATAAGAAAATTAAAATATGACAAATGTTATGCAGTGGCTAAAGCTTGTAACATTAATGTCTCCTTAGTTGTGTCTCTGCCTGAGGAGGAGAGGAGAGGGCAGCTGTCATTCACAACGCACCACCATCACTGTGTAAAAACAACTATTAAATAAAAACAGCGCAACAATATGGATTTGATTTATGCAGACTGTAATGGAAATAAGATTAAAAAAAATAAATAAACGAAAATGCAGCAAAATAAAGACAGGGAAAAGGGGTCACGTTAACGGAATATTTTCCGTATTTAACTGTTTTGTTTTTTTATATGGTGACGGAAAAATCTAAAGGCCGTCCAGATTGCAATTAACACTCCTGACCTCAGGAAGACTTAATAAATAAGCCAGGTGAAGTGGAGAAAAAATTCAACGAGCCTTCACAAGACTGCAGCTCTGTGGCATCTCACTCACACAGAAACATTTTCATCTTTACGCACAGAGAAAGTTACATCACAGAGGTGTCTTATTTAATCTAAAATAAATAAAAGATTCCATCTGATCATCGTCTCAGATCTAGACACCATACTGAATGCATCTCCAGGAGCTGACAGCATGAGGACAGGAAGCTTTGGAGCATCTGTGAGGCGCAGCTGAACCAGTGGTGAAGCGGAAGCACATGCTGCAGCATGATTTCCTCTTGCTAAAGCCACAGCTTGTTGGATTTGGAAATAAACTCTTGCTGTGTTCTTATCACTTCGACTGGAGTCGTTTTTTTCTAATTTTAAAACTTTGGCTGAAGTGGTGTTTGTTATTCCAACAGTGTCGCAGCAGAGTGCGGGTTAGTCTTCAGAACCACTGGCGCTGCATATTTATCCACAGTGAATAAAGAAACTTACAACTAACAAAGCTGCCTGTCAATCTATGAACACATTTTGCTGAAACTCAAAGATAACTGCCTGACTGATCAGTCAGTAAACAGGTGTAAGAGTTACCTGTGGCTGACAGCTGCAGGCTGAGGTGAAGAAGCCAGCTTTGTCTATGCGGCGGGAGCCGGGAGGACAGATTCCCAGGCTCAGATGCTGTGTCCGATAGTTACATCCAGAGGACGAGGCATCATGAAAGTATTTACTTTATTTCAACTATTTTCTTTATCATTTCGATGATATTTAACTGTTTAAAACTGGTCAAATTTGTAAAACATGCAATTAGCCCTAGCTTGTTTAGAGCTCTGGGGTCGGATTTATAAAAGTGGCGTACGCACAAAAGGAGCCCAGAAACTTGCATACGCCACTTTTCATGCCAAGGTTGTGATTTATAAAATCCAAACTTGACGTGAAAATGTGCGGTCCCTCACGCCACCTTGACCCATGCGTACACTGATTTTGGAGACGGGAACTGCGACACAGATGGTGAAGTGGGGAATTAGAGCCACACTGTGTAATGATCACTGTCAGATATTTAATTTACCTTCATAATCAGACTTAGATTTTTATTCAACTTTATCATCAGCTTTCTCAACAGTAATATTTATGCTTCTGCTGCTGAGCCAGAAAGACCTTTGAAATAAAAAACTTAAATCTTAAATAAAAGTTCCCGCATCCATTCATCTCCTTCCTCCTCAAACGACCCCGACCCACAGACCCCTCCCCGACAAGAGACATTTCAACAGCACGACAGCAGAAGTCACGCTTTGGGTACACGCGCAGGGCGCACCCACCCTCACCAGTGGGATGTCATAAAAATTCAGTTTTTAAAGTCTGTATTTGTCACGAGCGCAGGGGTGTGAGGAGGTGAGGAGACGATCAGCTGCAGACAACAGAGGAGCCGGGAGGGGGAGGATGGGGGAGAAGAGCGGTGAACTTAAATTTATCTGACTTATTTTATTTATTGTTTTTGTCGTCCTCTGAGAGAGAAAATTAATTTGAAGCTGAGTTTTTGAAATAAATCATTAGCTTACTCTAAATGTCTGTAAACCTGCAAAATGAGGGAAAATCTGTGTCATTTACAGACATTCTGTTCACGTGAGCAGCTTTCAGCTCCTGTCATCCTCCAGACACACGACAGAGCACGTGTCTGAACCAGCCAATCACTTTTTTGACATTGATCAGCTGACTGATTTAAATATATCTTAACATTCATGAGGTACTTTGAATTAACTGTTTATGGTTGAGTGTGAGCGTGTAGAGGGTAGAACCTGAGGCGGGACCTTGTGCGCATATTACGTTCTGTTCTCTGATTGGCCCGGCTAAAAATCTGCCAGCGAAATCCATTTCAATGGGAGAAGTCCCAGATGGAGCAGTGAATGGAAACTAGAATTGAGCGGAGCTGCGTAGGAAGGCAAGGGCCAGGCTAGCGTATGCACGGTTTTATAAACCTGATTTTTTTTTTGTACGCCATTTTCGTCTTTTGGCCGTACGTTCATTTTTAGTATGGTTTCCACGCAATCCTTTATGAATCTGATCCCTGGTTTGGAGCGTCGAAGTCATGTGATTCAAAATAGCCAATGACAGCAAGTCTTGCAAAGACATTATAGTGACCAATCACCACCATGCATATATATTAATTTGAATTTTATTTAATTTTAGCTCTTTTTTAATTTTATTTAATGATGGTTTTGAGTGACGCCCTCAAAAGTAGAACTAAATTATACATAGAATTTTATTATTATTTTAATCTGATATAAGAAAGCCATTTGATTTGGGTGGGCCCAGGTACAAAGTGGGTGGGCCTGTGTCCATCTAGGCCCACCCATAGCCACACCCCTGGATGCAAGTGTTTCAAATCAAAAATCACTAATTAGTTTTTTTGTTTTATATATTTGAAATAAGAACAGGAGAAAAGGCTAATTAATACTGCCGTTAGGCATATTATGACAGGACCTTTCCTCTTTTATCCATAACTTTTTTTGAGCTGTTGCATAATTTTTTCCTTTCACTTCACATTGTTCTTTATTTTTCAGCAGTTCTGAGGCACGGTGATGAAACATGAAACTGCTACTGCACGTTACTCAACAGGTTGTTGCTATCTGACCAATAAGTGAGTGAGTTAGTTGATACCACCAACCTTGCTTTAATTGAGCTGTGAGAAGTCAAGCTGCTGAAGCCTTACCTCTGCCTACATCTACCAGAATGCTGTGTGGTTCTGGGTTGGAGTTCATTGAAATTATCAACATTCTTTTTGACATATTTTATATTGAAATTGATCGTGTCTATCACAATATACGTATATTCTTATTGTTTTTTTCCCCCAGCTCTAGCTGTATAATGATTTGACACAAATAATAAAGCCATGACTGGTTAAGATTTCTAACTTAACTGTTGTCTGTGGTGATACAATTTATGCTTCTCCGTAGCAGGCAGCTGTGTTGGAAATCAGGAAAATATGCTGTTTCCAGACATTTTTCTACAGGTTCTAACCTTCAGTAATGTGTGCTGAAACATTTGTTGTCGGCTCGACAGATCGTATCTCATTCCTCAACCCAAAGCACAAGTTTATATATTGTTTTGCCAAAGGTTTTTAGTAATTTCTTGGTTTAGATCAAAAATAACCCCAAATGTGTGACTCTATATTGTCTTGTCCAAAATGTCCTGATGCATCTCAATAATGCAGGTAGAAAAATCTAACAACTTTTTTTTTTAGGTCTTATCCAAATGTTCTTCCACAATTTTAAAAATAACAGAGATTGCTTGGTCCCACACTTTCTAATATAAAGCTTAAAACACACATAAGTGATCACATTATCAATCATCATTTGCCGGTGGCTGACTGAAAGAATTTGACCTATTGCCCAACCCTAACATCTACTCTAAGAATCAGAAAGCTGAAACTAAACTTTAATGTCTCTATTTTTACCTTGATATGGAGCAACTGGAATAAATCAGCAGGCACAAAGAGCACATTTTTTATTTTTTTATCAAAACAAAACTATTGTGTTGAGAAGATAAAGCAAGTTGAGGTGGTTGCAGAGGACACAACTTACTTTTATAATTCCAATGAATACTTGTGACTTGGATCTCTTGAGTGGGTATGTACTCCTCCACAAATTTCTTCCCTTGCAATCGATACCATAAAGTACTCTTTCCAGTGTTTCTATCTCCCCGAATGACTATTTTCACTGGAGTGAGAAAGAAATTAAGGTCATCATGACAAAGATTCAGTGTAGAAGACGTTTTCTTTGCATACTTGAAACAAGCACACTCCTCATGCATTTCTTACTGTTATATTGGACCCCCTTGGCGAAGCGCCTCTGCAAACTTTGGTTCATCGACTGCACTCCGGCAGGGATAGTTTTCTCTCTGGGCTGCCCTGGCTCAGATCCTACCAGCTTTTTCAGTGCCGAAAACATTTTGAGTCTTCACAAGCTGATGTGGCTGCAAGATCAAGACTCCACCTGACAACTTCTCACGTGAAAATGAAGACAGATATTATAGCAGCGTTTCCTGATGGAAAGATAACTAGGTCTCCATGGATCAAAGTGAATATGAGGCCAATTTACTTTATACTGACGGTTTTTAAATTTTCTTAAAAGTGACTAGATGCTTTTTCTTGCCAGTTAGTGGTGGAGGTAACAACTGCTTTGTCCACAGCATTGCCTATAAAAGAAAAACAAAGACAGTATTTTTAAAAATGAAAATATTTTTAGGAATCCTAATTAATCTAAAACAGGAAAGGTTTAGCCTGATTTAATGCCAAACAATAAGAAAAGTATTGTGTCATTTTGTACATTGTAAATATCTGGTTTGACTGTATACACTTTTTCCTTTTTGATGGTTACATTTTCCCTCAAATTTAGGGCTGCACAATTTCAAGAAAACCTGCGATGTGCAATAACAGTGCTTAATATTAGGGGTGTCCCGATACCAGTTTTTTCAAGACTGAGTACAAGTACGAGTACTTCAGTTTAGGTACTCACCGATACCGATACCGATACCAAGTAGCGGGGTTAGGGTGGATTATCTGTTCAACTTGTTGAATATTAAACAGAATGAAAATGAAATGCAATTATCATGCAAAAACTGATGGGTAAATATTATGTTTGACACCGATACTGGTATCGGTATCGGGACACCTCTAAAAATAATGAATGAAAAACGAACCATCAAGCAACAAAAACTTATTATTTTCACCTGGAGTGGGAAGAGGACTCATATGTAATTCGAGCGCTGCCTTGGCC